CCCCCCTTTCCCCCCCCCCCCGATTTAGGAGGCACCAGTCACTCATGGCTAAAAGTGCCAAAAAGCCCCACCGAAGTGCCTGATCTTTACAGACACTGCAGAGCTGGGTTGAAATAACATGCTGTTTCTTCCAGTAAAGCATATCATTGGGGGTTTTTTTTGTTTTGTTTGTTTTTAACATCTGCAAGCAGCCACAAAACTCTAACATGTAAAACTAGAATGGCCATGGCTTGTGGGTGCTGAGCACCTGCTAATGGTTTTCAGTGCATGCTTGAGCTCCAGTGTGCCCACAGAGTAAGTTCATATGGTTAAAAGCCAGGACACTTATACATCCAGTTCAATTCAATTTCAATTGCAATGTATTTATTATTAAGGATTCTGGCTAAGTGCCATGCTCCCAAAGACGACATAATACACATACAACCATAATATAAATAAGTTTAAAAAGTAACCGAACTACAAATATTATACTAAAAATTGAGCCCACCAACATAAAAACATTATTAATATAAATATAGTAGTAAATCAAAACATAAATCTATAATACTGTTATACATAGATCCACAATTGAGACAATAAAATCAAATCTAATGTTAAAAATATATAGCTTATATAGGTAATAAAGCACTTTAATCGCCTCAACCTTGCAAGCAAAAATTGCAACACTGTTTACTACATTTGGATACGTTTGCTGTAGAACCCAAATTAATTTCTCTCTGTTTGAGAAATGTATCAATTTCTCCAAGTACGGTAATAAATAGGTTCTCCTTATGTCATTATATAAAGAACATTCTAATACATAGTGGATAGTATCTTCCAAAACTCCTAGACAGACTGGGCAACATCTTTTAGCCCTTGGAATGGAAAATCTACATCCACCCCGAACAGCTGTGGGCATCTGTTCAGTCCTGAGTCTAGTCAAAAGAGGATCACCATTTATTATTGAGATCCAACTGCAAATACCCTTCTCCCACTGGTGATGCATAGGGGATACACGTTCACCCCCTGAGTGCTGGTGCACCCCCTGACTGGCTGCGTTTCCACTTAGACGATCAGCAGGGGGGAGCGCCGGTGCCCCCCCTGCAAGCACCAGCTGATTGCTGCAGCCGGTCCCAGAGGCGGCCCCAGCCACTCCTGGAAGCAGCTGCAGTGGGATCGGCTGTGGGGGTCAGGGCAGCGAGATTGGCTGCGGGGGGGCCCCCCCCCCCCAGTCAGCAGGACTGGTTGCAGGGATGGCATGTGCCTCCCTCTGACTAAAGCAGCATGAGTCACCCATGCTTTCTCTCCCCCCCACCCCCAATCTAATTTCCAAAGAGTATATAAAGAGGCAATGCGAGCAGCCCCAGCCACTGCAAAATCATTCTGCTTGGCAATATCTTGTATCCTCTGGAAAATCCAAACCTTTTCTATGGGGGAGAAAGATCTTTCGTTATCTTTGAGGCAGTATCCCATCCCAGAAAGTGCAGAAGTGCAGGAAAGAAAAGCTAACCAGGGTGATTGGAGAAGAGGAGGATAATTAATATCTTCTATGTAGCATAACTTAAGCAGACGAGATGGTAAAAGGGGCAGGATTTTAAACCAAAATCCTGCCATTCTAATAATAATATTAGTTAAAATAGAATCCATACCCATCTCTAATCTTAGAAAAGATGCAGGAATTAAGGCAAGAAGAACCCTAAGAAACTTGTTCTGAGGTATGTCTACATCATTACTAGCAGCATAGCCCCATACTTCAGCTCCATATAAGATCTAAGAGGTAACTTTGGCT